TCGGGGTGCTGAGCATGGGGGTGCTGAGCCTGGGGGTGCGGAGCCTGGAGGTGCGGAGCCTGGGGGTGCGGTGCTGAGCCTAGGTGTGAGGAGTCTGGGGGTGCTGAGCCTGGGGGCGCTGAGGCGTCTGGTGAGCAGTCTCCCTGGAGCGGCCGTCTCCGTAGTCGCTCCGCTGGTGCCTCGCCGCTGCACTCTCGTCGTCGACTCCCTCTCTCCCCACAGGAGCTGCTTGAGTGGTACGCTGGCCGTCAGGGTCACGCTGCTGGAGCTAGGGGCTCTGCTGCGGGAGGCGCTGGAGCTGGTGACTCTGCCACTGGAGTTGTTTCTGCTGGAGGTTCTGGAGCTGCTGAGGGTGCTGGAGCTGGAGGTTCTGGAGCTGCTGGAGGTGCCGGCGCTGGTGGCGCTGGAGCTGGAGGTTCTGGAGCTGCTGAGGGTGCTGGCGCTGGAGGTTCTGGAGCTGCTGCGGGTGCTGGCGCTGAGGGTTCTGAGTCTGCTGTTGCGCGGTTTCCTTGGAGTAGCCGCCTTCGTCCGCGTGTGCCTCTCACCTCGCAGCAGCTGCACGACTGGTACGGTCGGCGTCAGGGTCGCGCTTCTGGAGCTCGGGGCTCTGCCGCTGGAGGTACTTCTGCTGACGTCACTGGAGCTGGGAGTGGTGCTGGTCCCGGAGGTGCTCGTACTGGAGGTACTGGAGCTGCTGGGGCTGGAGGTGCTGAGCCTGAGGGTGCTGCTGCTGGAGACACTGAGGCTGGAGACCCTGGGACTGGAGGTGCCGGTTCTTGGGGTGCTGCTGTTGGTGGAGCTGGTCCTGGAGGAGCTGGCGCTGAGGGTTCTGGAGCTGCTGGAGCTGCTGGGGGTACTGGAGCTGCTGGTGCTGCTGTCACTGCACAGCCGCGCCTGTTCTTCGCTCCACCTTCTCCGTCGTCTCAGCCACCGCCTGACTCTGTGCTTCGCCAGGTTCTTAGTCTCCCTTCGTCTACTGGTCTTCCGTTACAGCCTGGCTCACCGCTGCCTGCTCCTTCTCCTTACACTGAGCAGCTAGGGGGTCTTACTGAGCGTCGTGAGCCTGCGTCGCGTCCTGTCTTGCCTGTCTGTTCTGGTCGTTCCGGTCGTCGTGTTCCTCGTCCGCGTCTGCCGGCTTTCCCCGACACCCACCTCGTAGTCCGTCGTCCTTCCTCTCCTCCGCAGCGTGTTCCTCTGCCGTCTCCTCCTGCGTCTTCTCTGCCTGTCGTTGCGGACACCAAGTCTGGCCGGTTTCGTACTGAGCACCCTACTGTCACGCGTCTGCTAGGCACTGTTGTCACTGACCCATCGTTTGAGTCTGCTGCTACGTCTGCCTTAGTTGCTGAGCTTGTTGACTTTGCTGCTGCATGTCGTCTAGACTACGCCGCTAGTCTTGTTGCTGAGTCTGAGTCTGTCTGTCCTCCGTCCGTCGGGGGTGAGTGTGCTCTTGGCACGGACGTCCTTGAGGACAGGCAGGAGGACCTTGAGTGTCTTGCAGCCGCTGCGCCTCATCTCGTGTCCATGCTGCTTGCCCCTGAGGGAGACCCGGATGCTCCAGACATCCCGACCCCGCGCTCTTACGCTGAGGCGATCGCGGGTGAGTAATCCTCTCAGTGGCAGACAGCCATGGACGCAGAGATGGCATCCTGGAAGTCCACAGGCACCTACGTCGACGAGGTTCCCCCACCTGGGGCGAACATCGTCAGTGGCATGTGGATTTTCAGGGTGAAGCGGCCGCCGGGTTCTCCGCCTGCCTTCAAGGCGCGTTACGTTGCACGAGGTTTCAGTCAGCGAGAGGGAGTAGACTTCTTCCAGACCTTCTCCCCCACCCCGAAGATGACCACTCTTCGGGTGCTGCTGCATGTTGCCGCTCAGCGTGACTACGAGCTTCACTATCTTGACTTCAGCACAGCCTTCTTACAGGGCAGCCTGCACGAGGAGATCTGGCTGCGCCGCCCACCTGGCTTCACTGGGTCGTTCCCTCCTGGTACCCAGTGGAGCCTCAGGCGGCCGGTCTACGGTCTCCGCCAGGCGCCACGTGAGTGGCACGACACACTGAGGACGACACTTGCGGCTCTTGGGTTTGCTCCGTCGACTGCTGACCCGTCGCTGTTTCTGCGCACCGACACTTCGCTGCCACCGCTCTACATCCTCGTGTACGTCGACGACTTGGTCTTTGCCACTGCTGACACTGAGGCTCTCGCCCTGGTGAAGTCGGAGCTGCAGAAGAGACACACGTGCACAGACCTGGGTGAGTTGACAAGCTATCTTGGCTTGCAGATCACCCGGGACAGAGCACGCCGCACCATCACCCTGACTCAGTCACACATGGTGCAGCAGGTCCTTCAGCGCTTCGGTTTCACCTGGTCCTCGGCACAGGCCACTCCTCTGGCTACAGGTCACTCGCTCTCAGCTCCACCTTCGGACGAGTCCGTAGAGCCAAGTGGTCCTTACCCAAAGCTAGTTGGCTGCCTCATGTACCTGATGACCTGCACTCGTCCTGACCTCGCGTACCCTCTTGGCCTTCTGGCTCGCTACGTGGCTCCTGGTCGGCACCGAAAGGTGCACATGGATGCTGCTAAGAGGGTACTGCGCTACTTGTGCAGTACATCGGGCATGGGGCTCGTGCTTGGAGGACGGGGCGACGTTGTCCTCACTGGTCACTCGGACGCTTCTTGGGTTGACGACCAGGCTACGCAGCGGTCGTCACAGGGTTACACCTTCAGCCTTGGCTCTGGTTCAGTTTCTTGGCGTTCTACACGCTCGTCTTCAGTTCTCAGCTCCAGTTGTGAGGCTGAGATCTACGCCACAGCCATGGCTGCACAGGAGTAACGCTGGCTCACCTACCTGCTGACCGACCTGGGAGAGCGGCCTCGTTCTCCTCCAGTGCTGTACGTCGACAACAAGGCAGCCATTGCCTTGTGTCAGGAGCACAGACTGGAGCACAGAACGAAGCACATCGCTCTGCGTTACTTCCTGGCTCGAGAGTTGCAGCAGCGGGGTCAGCTTCGTCTTGCTCACGTGGCCACTCGGGCCAACACTGCTGATATATTCACCAAGGCACTTCCGTCTGGTGATCATCAGCGCTTTTGTACTTTGTTGGGCCTTGTGCCTACGTTTCCACACTTGCTGTAGATTCTGCTTGTACTGTGATCTATACATATATACCTGCATGCTTGCTCTTGTTAGGTAGTGATCACTGTGCTATTGCTGCATATACATCTCTGCATGTAAACTGGCCTTGTGGCCCTTTGCTTGTGCTCAGAGTGTGTGGTGACTTTGTGATCCACCCTGAGCTGTGTTTTGTTTCTTCTCTTGACTGGTCTTGTGACCTTTGCTTGCTCTGGCTATCCCTCATTTCGCCTATGGAGGTGTGTCAAATCATATATGCATGTTTATGTTATCTAGGCTGTATGGGGGTTAGCACTAGGGGGTACAATATTTCTCTCGACATTCTTCTTGTACCCCCCCCCTTGACCTCATGACACATTACTTCCTAGTATTCTAACACAAAGAAGAGATTTCAACAAAGGCAAATGATACAAGATATAGGAAAGAGGAAGGGAGAATAAAAGGGTACACCACCAGCAGTTGATGCTAATAACTAAACTAATATACTAGCAAGCTATAGGCAGTTATAAGATATGCAATATCGATTAACAACGGAGGTCCGGAGCGCGGGTTACCAACCGAACCGTGAGGTTGGGTCGCATTGTGAATAGTGGCGGGAGACGTGGTCGAGGCGAATGTTGCGAGCGGGTAATTTTCACGGATGGGTGCCGATGGCGGAAACGGGCATGTACGCGGTAAGCAGGGACGCGAGGCCCTCAGATTCACTTTGAGGGACATAGAGGGATCAGGGTCCCTCTGCGTGGAATCCCTGATTGACAGTGTCCTCTAGAAAAAAAGCCTGAAAAATCAGTGTGACTTAAAAAAAAAATCCCTGAAGCATCAGTGTTCCCTAAAAAAAAATGCTGTTTTTACTAGACCACACGGCTGACTGCCTCTTGGTACACCAGGCAGGAACGCGAGGAAACCCCCCGCGAATGGAAAGCATGGAGCAGAATGGGATTGAAGTCTGGATGGCAGGTAGCACGGCTGGGGGATGCATCAGACAAAACGCGCCATATGACCATAGGTGCAAGCACCACCCCTCGCATCGCAGCATGCCAGCATCGCTGTGTTGCAACCTTGTCATTGGTCAAAGATCTGACCAGGCGCGCCAGCAAAGCAGCCCTCAAAGTGAAAAGCATGGGGCAAATTTGTCTCGTAGTATCGCCAGGCAGTGCTGACACCGCGGGAATCTGAGATTCCCTGTACTTCCAGGCAACTACACTCGGAACGTGTAGGAATCGCATTCAGTGTCAGTTTCGGTACAACGTAGTGGAATCAGTGTCCTTAGAAAAAAAATCCTGAAAGTTCAGAGTCATCTGGCAGGAAAAGGCTGAAAAATCAGTCCCACAAAATGCTGAACACTGGAAAATCAGGGTAGGTACAAAAAAATCCCTGAAAATCAGGAATTTCAGGAAAAAAATCCTGATATCGTAGGGCCTGACGCGAAGTAAGGAAAATGAATTTTCCTTACACTCTGCAAGCGTATCATTGGGATGGGATACCCTTTGGATGTCATTGTTTTATAACCAGGATGCAAAATAGTGAACCCCAACCCAGCTTGAAAGGGTGTGCGATGATCGGGCCGATTCAGCACTGTTCCAAACATATCAAGTGCACAGATCGAAATGATGTGATTGGCTCTCACCAAAATGATACTTCTTCAGGCTCCCGCCAAATCAATTTTGGCGCTCATGTTAGCTGTCGCCTCCTACGTGCGGCAGCCTCACGACCAGCGCAAAGCGATCGTTTTGGTCGCCAGCTCCAACATCGATTTCAAGCTGGAACTGGGTTCACAACTCACTCACGTAGCTTGCCTAACACACGTAGCTTGCCTAACTCACGTAGCTTGCCTAGCATAGAATAGCAAGGGACGAGGGATTAGGCTGATGCGGCATAGATATGAAATTATCATTAGGTTGTGTGTGATACTTCGTCGCCCTTGCTCTCTCCGCGCCCTTCCCGTCGCCCTCCCGCTCGCCCCTCCCTTCCCGTCGCCTTCTCTCTCTCCGCGTCGCCCTCTCTCTCGCCCCTCCCTTCCCATTGCGCTCTCCCTCCGCTCCCTTCCCGTCGCCCTCTCTCTCGCCCCTCCCTTCCCGTCGCCCTCCCGCTCGCCCCTCCCTTCCCGTCGCCTTCTCTCTCTCCGCGTCGCCCTCTCTCTCGCCCCTCCCTTCCCGTCGCCCTCTCTCTCGCCCCTCCCTTCCCGTCGCCCTCTCTCTCTCCGCGCCCTTCCCGTCGCCCTCTCTCTCGCCCCTCCCTTCCCGTCGCCCTCTCTCTCGCCCCTCCCTTCTCGTCGCCCTCTCTCTCGCCTCCCCCTTCCAGTCGCCCTCTCTCTCTCCGCGCCCTTCCCGTCGCCCTCCCGCTCGCCCCTCCCTTCCCGTCGCCTTCTCTCTCTCCGCGTCGCCCTCTCTCTCGCCCCTCCCTTCCCGTCGCCCTCTCTCTCGCCCCTCCCTTCCCGTCGCCCTCTCTCTCTCCGCGCCCTTCCCGTCGCCCTCTCTCTCGCCCCTCCCTTCCCGTCGCCCTCTCTCTCTCCGCGCCCTTTTCGTCGCCCTCTCTCTCTCCGCGCCCTTTTCGTCATCGTGACCCATTCCGTACTCTGTTATTGTGTTTTGTTTGTTTGTTTGATTTTTTTCCCCGTCTTTCCATCCCTTCTCGTCACCCTCTCTCCCGTCGCCTATCCTCTCTCCCGTCGCCTATCCTCTCTCCCGTCGCCTATCCTCTCTCCCGTCGCCCTCCCGTTTCCCGTCGCCCTCCCGTTTCCCGTCGTCCTCCCGTTTCCCGTCGCCGTTTCCCGTCGCCCTCCCGTTTCCCGTCGCCCTCCCGTTTCCCGTCGTCCTCCCGTTTCCCGTCGCCTTTTCCCGTCGCCCTCCCCTTTCCCGTCGCACTCCCATTTCCCGTCGCCCGTGCTGTTTTTCTCTTCTGTACCCCGTTATTGCACCTCTCCCAGGCCTCAAGTCCAAGGCAGCACATTGATCAGAGCTCTACTAGCTCTAACAACGTTCAAACACTTTCACTCGCATTACGTACATGTGTGTCTGCTTGGGATTTAGCGTGAGATGTTTGCTAGTTGTGAATTTGATGAACTAGTGGCTCTAGTGAATGCAGGAGTGCTCGTCGCTCAACTTTGCGCCAAATTCGCACATCATGTGAGAGAACCTGGCTGCCAATCAGAATTGAGAATGAACTTTCGTTCCTGGTCCAATACGAAACTCTTCTGAAGGTCGGAAAAAAAAGCACTCGCACAGCACTTCCAACTTTCCAAAACACAACAAAAATACTTCATTTTCAAGTGGACCCAACTAGAAGGGGGGGGTCACTATTTTGCCTGCTGGCTTTATAACCTACCGCTGTCGTCATGAAAGCAATGCGTACTTTGCAAGCTTTTACCTTAAAGCCGTTGACCCAAATTGCACAAGTTTTAAAGGTTGACGCGAAGGGGTTTTTCTGGTTTGGGTTTGGCGAGTGATTCCGATTTCGTTTTCTTCTTTTTTTTCGCCAAACCCAGCCTGCCCTCTTATTTCGCCTTGGGTGTTGGATCAGTCTCCGAAAGTCCCAGATTGCAGGTGCTTTAGTTTTCAAAGCTTGCACACTCGACTTAGGGCGTATTCCTACGGCCTCCTATCAAGGCCGCCTCCTATCAAGATTGTACCTTTTGCCTGGTGAAAGTAGCGAGAGATTTTGGGTTTAGGGAATTTTTCAGTGTGAGCTTGATAAGAGGTTAGCTTGATAGGAGGATAGGAATACGCCCTTAAAAGCTTGACCCGCGCGCTCCGCAATTTGGGGCGCGACTCTGGAAAAGTCCAAAATGTCCAACTTACATGTATAACCTTAATGATTCCTGTAGATCTAATGGATGTACCATATCATCTTACGGTACCGTATAATGCGATACAACTACATATCATTTTACAAGGCATCATCGACAAATAGGCAGCTGGGCCCACTGAGACAGTGAGAGCTCAGCTGAATTGACCTGATTGCATCCTTAGTCAACCCAGGGCAATTCTTCAAGTTGAGTCCAGTGAGCTTCTGGCACTGAGTCATGATCTTCTTTAGACTCTTGTCAGTCATCCCCTGGCATCCAGCCAGGGAGAGATTGAGAAGCGATGGCCCCAAGCTGCTGACCAAGGCAGACAGTCCACGGTCACTGATCCCGCACATGGACAAGTCCAAGTCTTCAAGAGCTGTGCATGATGAGGCTATGGCTCTCAAACTGCGGTCAGTCACATTGGAGCACCCATCCAGAGACAGGGATTTCATTGAGTTTCCACAGCAGCGCGAAATAGCAATCACGGCTTTGTCTGTGATCTGGGAACAGCCGCTCAGGTCCACGCTTGAAATCTTCGACCCGCAGCCAGCTACTAGGCTAGTGACGCCCTTGTCCTCTGCTCCCGCAAGACCCGCCAGCTCGAGCGACTGCAGACTGGCGTTGCTGCGACCCAGCATCTCAAGACACCGGCGATCTACGCCGTCGCAGTGGCTGATGCACAGACTGGTGAGCTTGGAGCAGGATCCGCTCCATATGCAGCACCCGCCCTTGCACCCCCCCTCTTGCTGCTGCTGCTGCTGCTGCTGACCCGCCTCCTCAGGGCCCCGCGCACAGGAAAGATTGGAGAGTTTGTGCAGAGTTAGCGACTCGAGGGAACCAGCCGCGTCGAGAGCGTCCTTAATCCCACAGCACGTGACGGCGGGACACTTGGACAAGCTGAGGCTCTTCACATTGCAACACCCCTCAACGATCGCCCTTAATGCCTTGTTTGTGAGCTGCTTGCAGCCGGCGAACGTGACGGACTGCAGGCTCTGGAACCCTTTCGACTGACCAAGGGCTCCGAAACCCTCTTCCGTCAGCAGAGGTAAATCCGACAGTTTCAGCCACTGAAGACCCGCCACGTGTTCACCAACCAGTTTTAAACCAGCATCTGTAAGGCCAATCTTCCCTGACAGTCGCAACCGCTTCAGTTCCTTGCAAGAAGAGCCCATGATCTTTAATCCATACTCGTTCACCAGGGGTAAGTCCGAGAGCGCTAAAGACACCAAACGCTTTGAGCCGGATGCCATGGCGGCGAGGAACGCGTTCGACGCGCGAGGACACCCGGAGACGCTGAGATTCAGGAGCTCGTGGCAGCCACGCGCGATCGCGGACAGGCCCTTGTCGGTGACGCGTGGACAGTTCATTATATCGAGCCGGCGGAGAGCCTTGCAACGGGACGCGAGCATCCGGAGCACCTCGTCGTCGACGTACGGGCAGTTCCAAAGCGTCAGCGACAGCAGCCCGGGACTCGCGCCGACAATCGCCTGAAATCCGAGGTTGGTTAGGCGCGTCGGCGTGGAGATTGCCGAAACCGCTGCGAGGCGATCCCCACGCACCACTAAGCGGTTGAGACCGCCGCGGCTAGGTAGGCCGATGGCCATCGAGAGAAGCCGCGTGTCTGAGGCATGGCGACCCTCTAGACAACGCGACAAGTCACCGGCGGTACTCGGTACAGACTGTTTCTCGGAATCTGCAGCGTCGGAGGTAATTGCCTCAGTTTTCGTGGCCAACGGACCTATGGCGAAGGGAGCAGCACCGTTCCAGCCCAGAAGGCCCTGGATCTGGAGCCAGCGGCGGCAGACGAGAGCGCACGAGCCGCGGTCGTTGGCGTTGGGAAGGAAGGAGAAGATGTGCGACAAGCACTCGTCTGGAAGGTCGTTGGTCAGGTCCACGGACTCCCGGCGGCGAGATGAGAGCATGCGCTTCGCCCATGGTAAGTCCTCCGCGATGAACGAATGGGGTGAAGGCTCAGGCGAAGCGTCCTCGATATAATCTGATTCCTCCGAGGCCCAAAAGTTATTGGAGTCTGGGTTAAGGGAGAGTTCTGAACCCCATCGCCTGACTAGTTTCTGTGTGTCTTCTTGATTCCTGTCCTGCTGGATGCGGGAAGAGGCCGCCAGCCAAGAATTATCGAAACACATCGTGGTATGGCGCTAAGGATGTCAAAAGAATAGGGACTATCCTAGCGACGAAGGTAAGAACGACTACGCTAAGCCGCTCCGAGAGTCACAATATGGATTAGCCGACGCAAACTACAATGGAATGTGAAAGTTGCTGGAGAGAATTTAGCTGCTAGACACTTCAATTGGTTCGCCGACGTGAAACAAAAACATTTGGAAGCAAGAAAGTGCAGAAGCGGCAGACTTTTGCAAGCAGGGGTGTGAACCTATAGCAGGCAATGGCGGCGACGGACTTAGAGAGGAAGGGGTGTCAGGCCGATGGATCAGTGACAGGACGCCAGCACGAAGGGGAGGGTGGTGCACTTGCCAAACAACGGGTTACCAACTTGCCACGGAATTGGCGCAGCACAGCAGATGCAGCTTCTTCCTGAAGTTGAGGCTGTCGAGCAATGGCCGCAAAGGGACTGGGACGGGATACCGGATGAGGTGAGGAGAGAGGAGAATCAGAGGGATTGGGAGAGGAAAAGAGATATTGCCACTTGGAATGGTGAAGGGGTGGAGTGGAGGCTTGTTGCGGGGCGATTGGAGTGGTGGAGAGAGGTGAGGAGGAGCGGGTGGAGGAGAGGAGAGGAGAGGAAAGGTTGCCCACGTGCTTCACACCTCACTGGAGGTGGAGAAGGGAGAAACGCCAGAGGAGGCGAGGCGAGGCGAGGTGAGTTGATACGGGTTGCTTGCGTCTGTCTTGGCTGGTGCTTCCTAGGGACCACCGCGCACGGAGACAAAACGTGCAGGTGTCCTCCTCCGCGTGTCAGCTGGCGCGTTCATGAACTGGATGCTGCTGACGCAGCAGAAACCCATTGCTGGAGAGGGCCACGCTGGATTGGCGGATCAATCGGACAGCCGCCATTGCTGCGAGAATGGTGTCAGTTCTTGCAAAAAACGGCTGCCCCAACCATCCAACATTCGGGCGAATCTTGTGAATGTGCATGGCGCTCGGGCAGGTAAACTGTGGTGAGTTGGATCTGGTCAGGAATACAAATGTGATGGGATCTGCTTCCACAGGGCGAAAACCTTGCATTGCTGAAGCCATTGGCGGTGCCCTCCTTTCCCCACCAAAGCAACTCAACACTGCACTCCACAGAATTTTAACCATCCATGCGCGGGATTCTGCAAAGCAGGCAGTGTTCTCGCAACGAGCAGTGGAGCTCTTAACACCCGAATAAAATTCTCCCATGCGTAAACAACCCTTTCGTATTCAAACTCACAGGCAGAGCACGGAAGGCAAAGCCGAGAGGTGGGAGGGAGGCTGGGGATGGGAGGAGGACATTGTGCCTTTCAACAACAGCGTCTCAAGAATTCGTTCTGTAAGATGTCCAAGGATAATTTCCCACTTACGATTACTTTGGTGTGTTTGTGTGTGTGCGACCCTTCACAACAGGTGAATGTTACCATCCAGACTTTTGGGAACATGGTGAACCTTCCTCCATCAATACAACCCGCCAGGTTCATGCTCTACCACAACACTAGAGCTAAATTATTACGAACAATCAAAGAGCGCATCTGGACCAAGGGGGTAGCACGCCAGCGCATGAAGTCACTCTATTCTGATTGGCTAGAACATGTACAGCGCAGCCATCTAATCATACTCTCCCGCAACCTTTCGAATGATGCCTACAAGACACGATCTTCACTCGAATCTCCACAGAACCGCGGCCATTGAACCTATCCTCATTCCTGACAACGATACAGAGCGTTGGTCTACATTTGCTGCAAGATATTTATCATTTATCACAACAACATATCCGAGCTGACCCCCCAGCATGGGGATTATTCTGAATACAAAGCCATAACATAGAAACTCTGAATTATTTTTCTTGTAGATTCACATCCAGTGCTTTAGGGTTGAGTTAGTAGGAATAAGTGGATAAATATCAATCCATAGTATTTTCAACACTTCAAAAATGGTTGTATTCAACACACATATAAGCAGTTAAACTTTTAATCAGTCTCCTGCTGTATATATTATTTTGAGAGATGTGACATTTCATGTTCATGGATATGTGATTTATCTCAGTAAAAATAACCCTGTTATTCAATTGTATCCACTATATCATACTAACTCCATTTGAGCCTTTCTGGATAATTGAGGTCCACTATATTCATCAACCTCCTTTCTTTGCTAGGTTCCCTCTATCAAAAGGCCTCTATCGCGAATACAAGTTTGAATTGCATTCGCGCCCTCAAACAATTGAGGAAGTCAGGTTGGCCGTACGATGTGATGGGCGGTTCGGCGGTGAGGGATCTTGAAAGCTTTTGACATAGCGGCGCGGAGGTTTTGGCCAATTCGAGCCAAAAAATGTTCGTCTTGCAACCCGTTGTAAGCTCATGCAGGCGCCAAAATACTGACGGCTACGATCTTTCGATTCATATGCATTCTAGGTGTTAACGTCTGCGATGCCCCTCCGGATATTGAATTCCTTTCAACCAAGTCCATCAATCACCACCCGCACCATTCTTCCATCGCCTTTTTCAACCAGCTCGTTTCTCGGGGGCACTCCACTACAGCTCCTCTTCTCCACTCAACCAGAGCCGTCCCATTTCGCCGACCAGCGGCACCCATCGGCCAAAGAGACTCTACTCGCACCATAATGATTCAGAAAACAAGACATGCAAAGCAGTGCAATCAGCAAAAGAGTTGCTTTTCTCAATGCGAGCTTATGGTACGAACTATGGACAAGACGCTCTCGACAAACTAAGCTAGAACTACTAGTGCGTCGTGCTAATTCACCTCGATTTAGCGATTCAGGATCTTATCGAACTTATCATAGCCTTTCCTAAGAGCGAAGAGGGCCATTAGGTGCTAGCTTGTACAAGCCCATGACGTAAGCTAGAACGATACAGTCATGTATACAGCTGACGATACCTCGCCGTCACCGCGGCGACGACGACCGTTTAAGGTCACCACCCCGCCGTTAGCGGCCGTTCCCGCTGAAAAAAAACGGAGGCGTACGGTCGGCGTAACGCTACCACACCGTGAGATCGTAACAATGTCACCTCTCGCTTCTTCTCCGACTGCAAGGCTACCCGGCTCTGGAAGAAACGGCGTCGCAACCATTCTTCTGTCCCTAGGTGCGTGGCAACACAAAGCGTCGAACCTTGACTTGAATGCTATATTCGACTCTCGAATTCGATCGCCCTACGTGCACCCAACTGCCCTTCAACGTGTCAGAAGACAGTTACTATAGATGGATTCGCACCCCAGCACCGTCCTTAACCGAGCTTTTTTTCTTCCAAAAAGAGGTCTCACCGTTTCCTGCTCCTCCAGATTCTTAATCCCTCATCCCTCCTGCTTTGTTCCTTGGTTCCCACGCGGCTTCTGCTTGTTTCCTTCCAGTCTGCTCTTTCGATGTTTCCAATCTCCCACAACACGTTCAACTCATCCCCTTGACATCGTCTCTTCTCCTTCCACCTTCTCGCTTCTCATCCCTCCAACCACCACCTCAACAGTGCTTCTTCTCGCAACACCGATAACCACACCCCCACAAGCCATTGCCACCGCTGTTTCCGCGGGCAACTCAAGCACCGCTGCAGCAGCGCTCTTAGCACGATCCGCAATCCCCGGGCCAACACCCATCGCCAACATCCCCCTCTTCCCCGCCGCCTCCCCCGCCGCCATTAACGGAGGAGCTGGCGGCAGTGACGGCACTCATCCCGCTTCCGCTGCCGCCTCCCCCTCCGCCTCCCCCAGTACTGCTTCCGCTACTCCTCACATACCATCCGCCCCCGCCGGCACTCCTGCATCCATCCTTCCGCTTCCGCTTACCGCCATAGTCCCCGCCAAGAAAACCGCTACGGCCGCGGCTGTAGCGCCAGCGCCTGCTTCGCGCTCCACATCAGCGCCGCCCGAATCCCCTCCCGCCATGACTCGTGGCGGAACGGGAGGTGCGGTCAGCTTGGAGCGCGCACCGGTGGGGGCGGTGATTCTTCTAAACGCAGTAAAGGCCGCGGGGCTGCGCGCTCGCGCGAGCGCGTGCGTGTTTGACGCGGAGAAGCGGACATTCGAGCTGGTGGCGGGGCTGAGTACAATGTAAGTGGAATGCGCCTGAAGGGGATCCGTTACCTCGTATTATAAGCGCCTACTTGACGTTCTAAAACAGTCATCTGTCACATTATTAATATAACCCTGGCGTCACCTCCGGCGGCTTTCTGAAACAGTCTATCGTAAGTGACGGAAAATCATCGTTTTGTTTCTTTGATATATTATTTTTCTCATTGTTATTTCAAGCGTGCTCTTTTGCCTCCGATTCCGATTCTTCGCCCGCTCGCAGAATTGCGCTCAACGCGACGGACGCGTGGGCGCCTCCCATTGGTCGGAAGGTGCTGACGAACGACTGCCAGTTCTTGATCGACGCCACGTGTCAAGATGTCACGCCCACTGGCGGATGCGACGACCACAACGAATGCACGACTGACACGTGTGTGCCTGCCGACCCAGCCACGTGTTTGCCTTATCCGGACTGCCTACTAGCGGGCCCGTCCTGTTCCTATACCGCGTCCCCCGACAGTGTCTCGAACCCAGATTGCATCGCGCCGCCGACTCCCCCGTCCGCGCCGAAAGGGTCAGTTTCGTCCGCTTCCGCCAATGTATCCGCGGGTGATGGCGGAAGCGGGAACGACGGGGAAGACGGGGGAAGCGGAGAACGGGAGGGAAAAGACGGGGAAACGGGGGAGAAGGCGGGCAGTGCGGATTCGGATGCGGAGGGAAAAGGGAAGGCGGAGAGCGCGGAAGGGGAGCAAAGCGGCGCGGACGACACGGCTGGTTCGGATTCCGGCGACGCGTATAGCGAGGATGATACTGGGGATAGTAACGAGGACGGGTCAGAAGGCACTGTCGAGATCGTGGGAACCATGCCGCCGCCTCGCAGCGCGTGCATCTTCATCCCCCATAAGAACCGCTTCATGATCCGCTTAAAGAACCGCTTCCGCGTCCGCCTCTCCGCAAGCGACGCGTGGGCGCCGCGGCCCGGGCAGGTCGCCATGACCGGCAACTGCCGGTTTATCATCGACTCGGCGTGCGGAGTGGTGGGGAGGCCGGGGGGGTGCGACGACGGGGACGAATGCACGGAGGATTATTGCTTGTGGCAGGGCGGGAATAACACTATCGGGAGTTGCACGCCCTTCCCGTCGTGCTTCTATGAGAGCGCGCGGTGCGAGAGGCGGGTGAAGGAGGAGTGCGTGGGGGGAGCAGGGGGAGGAGAAGCAGGGGGAGGGGGAGGGGGAGAGGTGGGGGACGGGGGGTTTGCGGCGGGTGGCGGAAAGGGGATTCGGACGGTGACTAGTGCCGGTGCTGCCGTGACTGGCGAAGCTGACGGTGCTGACGGTGCTGACGGTGCTGACGGTGGCGATGACGGCGGCGATGGTGGTGACGGCGGGGGTGACACGAAGGGGGGTGTGACTAAAACAAATGACAACAGCACAACCACTGACGGGGCGAAGAGCAGCAGTGATGGCAGCAGCAATGGCGACGGCGATGGCAGCGGCGATGGCGGCGGTATGAGCACAGAGGATATCGAGGCGTTGGAGGAGGAAGCTTTAGCGCAACGGCAGGCGCACGGGCAAGGGAAGCGGCAGCAACCCTCAGCAGACCAGGACGAATCACCAGGCTCGGGAGAATCAGGCTCGGAGGACCCGGACCTCCTCGCCCCGCGCCTGCGCGCCCCCCTCCCCCGCCCCGCGTGCCTGTTCCGCCCGAAGCAGGGGCTGTTCGTCCGCGTGGAAGGCTGGCCGTTCTCCGCGCGCCTGTCCCGCGCGGACGCGTGGGCCCCGCCCCCCGCCGCAACGACTCTCTCCGGAGACTGCCGCTTCGAGCTCGACTCGTTCTGCTCGGTCGTGTCGCGCGTCACGCGCGGGTGCGACGACGGCGACGCGTGCACGCTCGACACGTGCGCGTGGGCGGGGCGCGCGAACCGCGTCGGCAGCTGCGAGCCGTTCCCCTCGTGCTTCTACTCGTCCGCGTTCTGCGTGCACACGGACCTGTGCGGAAGGCCGGGGGGGAACGGCACGCGCGTGAGGGGAGGGGCGGTGAAAACAATGGCGGGTGGTGGAGGCGTGGGGGGGGGTTCGGATGGGGGGAGTGGTGGTGGTGCTGCTGATGGCGCTGACGCCGATACTGACAGTGATGGTGACGGTACTGATGCTGACGGTGACGCTGATACCAATGCTGATGCTGATGCGGATGGTGATGGTGATGGGGGTGCTGACGAGGTGAACGACCCTTACTCCGACCCTTCGGATCAGGAATGGCCGAACTTCCAGATCTACCCTCCCGCCAAAACCGGCTCGGCGGTGGAAGCTTCACAGAACCTTCCCCCGGGCGCAGGAGGAGGAATCTCCAACGCAACCACCACGCAAGACGTGCTGCGCACGCTTTCCCAGCCTATCCCCTTTACAGATACCTCCGTTTCGGGCTCTTTCAACGTGTATCATTTCGGCGCCCTGGGCGACGGGCAGAACGACGATGGCGAGGCTATTGAGGCAGCTTTTAACGAAGCATGCAAGTGGGCGCGACAGAACAACGTCAAAGCCACTGTCGCCATTCCCGCTGGCGCTGATTTCCTCACCACCCCCATGGTGTTTTCGGGGCCCTGCGGGCCAGGTGTCATCTTCTTATTGGACGGGAGAATTCTGGCTCCAAACATGCCCGTTTCTTCCTACCAATCGGCTTACAGCGTGGTGGCACATCTATATTTCGACCATGTGACCGGGCTGACCGTGACGTCGTCCGGGCAGGGCAGGCAGGCGGGGAGTTTTGACGGGCAGGGGCTGGAGACGTGGCGGGAACATTTGTCGCTCGGGCAGCCCGACTCATACGCCCGACCAAAAGGGTTTTTGTTCCAAAAGTGTGATAATCTCGTTATAGAGCAAATCACTGTACGGAACCCGCCTGAAATGCACATCAGCATACAGGAGTGCAACAATGTGATTGTACAGGGGGTGACTGCAATGAGTCCGTACAACAGCCCTGGCACGGACGGGCTGCATCTGGCTGCGGCGACGAATGTGATTATAAGGAACTGCAGGATGCACACGGGCGGCAACGGCATCGCTATAGTGGATAAGAGCGCCAACATCAGCATCAGCCATGTGTTCAGCTCTGCTGGCCGTGGCATAAGGTGAGGGCAGAGGAGAGGGATGGGGGGATGGGTGAGCATGCATGCTTGTGGGTATGAGTGCTGTAGTGTAGGTATGAACACTGGTGGATAAGAGTGCCAACATCAGCATCAGCCATGTGTTCAGCTCGGCCGGGAGGGGCATCAGGTGAGGGATGGGGGAGTGGATGAGCATGAATACCTGCGGGTATGAGTTTTTTCATGGGTAGAATCTGTAGTAACCCCCCCACCACCGCCAACATCAGCATCAGCCATGTGTTCAGCTCTGCTGGCCTCAGTATCAGGTCAGGGCGGAGGAGAGGGATGGGGAAAGAAAAAGACTGGTTCTCTGTGTGTTTCAGTAGCTGTGAGTTGTAAGTAACTATGAGCAGACTTGCCATTCTCCTTCTTACACCCTCTCCTCCCCGCCCCTTCACCTCGTTCACCAGCCAGGTTTCTTGACCTCTCTCACCCTCCCATCACTGCACTCTCTCCTTCCTTCCTTCACAACCACTCCCCCCCTCCATTCCCTACCACTTCTCATCCTCCGCACTTAGTACCCCACCGCCCCTCACCTTCTCCTCCCCGGTTTGACTCCCACCACCCATCACTCATTTCGCCTCTCTCCAATCCCACCTTCCCCAAATCCACCTGCCCCAACTCCACCTTCCCCAATCGCGCACTCCTCTCTCCCTCCCGCCCCAACCCTCCAGCATCTTCAATCTTGGTCGGGACCACTTCACGGCGTGTGTAACGAACGTGACTGTAAAGAACGCGACGGTGTACGGAGGGCGGAACGCGCTGCGCATAAGCACGTTCCAGGGCGGCAGGGGGTGCGTGTCCAACGTGCACTTTGCTGACGTGGAGGTCATCGAGACGACCGAACCAATCAAAATCGACCAGGTCAGCGGATTCTCCTCAGTGTCTCAAGACCGCACTAAAGTCTGTCTGGCCCCACAGGTGGCCGTCTTGTTGTTGCATCTCTCCCTTCCACATCTCATCTCTTCACCCTTCACCTCTCCACCCGCCGCCAGACACGATGCAGCGACGGCTCCTACAGCTGCAGCAGCAGCACTGATGCTGACGATGACAGTGACAGTGACAGCAACGATGCTGGTAACCCGGTTACCACCAGCAGCAGCACGAACAGCAGCAGCAGCGGCGACGCAGTGGCGATTACCAACGTGTCGTTTCGCAACATCTACGGCACGAGCAACCACACGCACGGGATCTACATCCGCTGCAGCGCCACCGTGCCATGTGTCGGCGTCTCATTCGCCGACATCAACATCACCCCCAGCAGGAGCCTGCTCAAGGCCCGGGCGGCGGAGACTCAGCTACAGCCGGAGAGGCAGCTACAGCCAGTAATGGAGAATGTACTGGTGACGCCTGGGAGTAGCATAAAGTCTCCCTTGGGAATTCCGGAGCTGAGAAAGGAGGTTACGGCGGAGGAGGAGGGGAGGATACGCGCGATGATGAGTGTGTGTGAGTACCCCTTCCGTGTGGTTGATTTGAATGCTATCCTGGCTCCTTTTCGCCAGGCTGGCGCGAAGATCCAATCGCAAGGTGACGCGTCAGATGGAGGTGAGGGAGAGAGAGGGGTTGGGGAGGAGGGAGGGGAGGAGGGGTCTGGGCTGACTGCGGTGGAGAGTGGTGAGGGTGGTGATAGTGGTGGGATGGGTGGGAGTGAGAACGGGGAGATTGATACTGGGAGGGCAGGGGAGGAGGATGATGTGCCGCCATTGCAAGCTGAAGAGGCGAGAGGGGGTGACACGGGAGGAGGAGAGGGGAGAGAGAGTGGAGAGAGCAAAGGGGGAGAGAGTGGAGAGAGCAAAGGGGAAGAGAGTGGGGAGGGTGGGGAGAGTGAAGGAGGAAAGGGAGGAGAAAGTGGAGGAGGAGATGGTGGGGATGACGGGGGAGGGAGTGGAGACAATGGAGGTGAGAGCAGTGAGGGGAAGGAGGGTGACAGCAAGGAGGGTGCAGCATCGAGCAAGCAGGAGGAGGAGAAGAAGAGGAGGGAGGAGACACTGAAGAGAGTGAGGGAGACGAAGAGTAAGAGGGAGGCACTGCGGCAAAAGTGGGTAGAGGCGAGGAGGAAACGAGGGGGAGGGGTGGCCAAGCCGACCCAGGTGGATGGAGATGGGGCTAAGGTAGCGGAAGGAAGCGGAGGAGGGAGTGAGGGAGGAGGGGAGCAAGGGGGCCAGGGCAGCAGTGGAGGCGAGTCAAGCGGCTCTAACACCCCCAGTGGGGGTGGTGATGATGGTGGTTCATCACAGGAGCACAGTGGGGCAGGTGGGTCGACTGACGGAGGAAAGGAAGATGGCAGCACTAGTGCTGGTGGTGATGGTGCTGATGGTGGTGATGAATCTGGATCAGGAGAAGGAGAGCAAGGCGGGGACAGCAGTGCGGATGGTGAAGGGGGGGAAGGGGCGGAGGGAGGAGGGGAGAATGGAGGAAACGAGGGTGCAGGGGACCAAGGGAGTGATGGCAGTTCCGAAAATAGCAATGGTGATGGTGGTAGTGGCGGTGATAGTGCTGGTGATGGTGCTGGTGATGGTGGTGGTGATAGTGCAGATGATAGTAACGGTGATAGTAACAGTGATAGTAACGGTGATAGTGCAGGTGATAGTAACGGTGATAGTGCAGGTGATAGTAACAGTGATAGTAACGGTGATAGTGCAGGTGATAGTAACGGTGATAGTAACGGTGATAGTGCAGGTGATAGTAACGGTGATAGTAACGGTGATGACAATGGGGGAGGGGAGGGGGAAACAAGTGGGGGCGGAGGTGGAGAGGAGACAGGCAATGGGGGAGATGATGGTGCAGGAGGAGCAGGAGGAAGAGAGGGGGGAGCAGGAGGAGGAGGAGGGGGAGGAGGAGGAGGGGGGGGGAGGAGGAGGAGGGGGGGGAGGAGCAGGAGGAGGAGGGGGAGACTGGGGTGAGACCCCCCCAGCGGACTACACCGCGGACGACACCAGTGACGACACCAGCAGTGGAGGTGATTATAACGCGGATGGAGGAGCAGGTGGGGGAGAGGGAGGAGGGGGTTCTGATGGGTCGGGAATAGATCCGTACGACCCTCTAGGAGGCTCATCAGGGTCTGGTGGGAATGGTGGGAACGGTGGGAGTGGAGGCAATAGTGGTTATGGTGGTGGTGGTGGCAGTGGTGGCAGCAGCAGCGGGCAAGGGAGCAGCAACGGCGGCAGCAACGGGAATGTAAGGGATGGAATATCCTTGGGGAGTCGCACCAGCAGGAGTGGCAGCGGCAGCACTGGCAGCAGTGGGGGGAATAGGAGTCCCGAGGAGGTTGTGGGGGCCACTGGAGGTGGCACTGGTGGTGGTGGCACAGGTAGGCACGGCGGGAGCACAAGGCCTGATTACTCCTCGCGTGAGTCTGCTTCTGAATCTTCAGGTGGAGTTTCAGGTGATTCCTCAGGTGGATCTTCTGGGGAAGGCTCCTCAGGAGACCCAACACCGGAAATTGACCCGTATGATCCGCTAGCTTCTGCTGAAAAGGGGGCGACAGGAGGCGGAGGAGGAGGAGGAAGAGGGGGGAGCAGGAATGGTGATGGCACTGCGAGTGGCAGTAGCAGCGATGACACCGGCTCAAGCAGTCGTGGTGCAGGCAGGGGTAGCAGCAGCGGAGGGGGGAGCTTGAGCGTTGGGGGAAGCAGCCGCAGCAGCAGCAGCGGCAACAGTGGCCGTAGCAGCGGCGGGAGCAGCAGTGGCGGCAGCGGTGGCGGCAGCAGCGGCAGCAGTGATGGGAACGCGTTGCTGGATGGGGGTGGCGGCAACAGGCTTATAGAAGGCGGGGGCAGCCGCAGTGCCAGCGCCAGTGGGACTGGTGGGTACAGCAGTGGGGGAAGCAACGGGTATTATGGGAGTGGGGGCGGCAGCTGGAGAGGCAGAGGCATGCCAAATGACCCGTGGCGAGGTGCTGGGGGAGGGAACACGCTGGGTGGTGGAGGGAGTAGTGGGAGTAAGGGGAGCAGCGCGGGGAAGAGTGCGAGCGGGGTGCAAAAGGCTGGGAAGAGCAGCGGGAGTGGCACTAGTGACAGCAGCAGCGACAGCAGCAGCAGCAGTAGTGGTGACGAGGAGGGAAGCAATGGGGGCGAGAGCAGTGGAGGCGAGAGCAGTGGAGGCACCTCTGGGATGAAAGGGAGGGATCAGCACGGGGGGGTAGGATCGAACAAGGTCGGCCCGATGCCAGATGATAAATCATCTGGGGGGAGGCACAAGAGCCCCAGCTCTGCTCCCAGCAGCAGTGGTAAATCTTCCAGCTCCTCCCCTCCTGCGCCTGATGCGGAATCTGAAGGAGCGGAAGGGGATGGTGGGAGCGAATCAGGTGGTGACACGTCGGATGGTGGTGATGCTGGTGGGGAGGGCGAGGGCAGCAGCAGCGGTGGGGACAGTGGTGGGGGCAGTGGCAGTGGCAGTGGAGGCGGGTTTGTGGGGCACAAGGAGAGGCAGGAGAAGGCAAGGCGGGAGAAGGAGCGGCAGGGGCAGCACCTGGGGTACAAGGAACGAGGGGGTGCTGGGGGGACTCCTCCTTCGGGCGGATCTAGAGATAAGAACAGTGGTGACAGTAACAGCAGTGACAGTAGCAGTGACAGTAACAGCAGTGACAGTAGCAGTGACAGTAACAGCAGTGACAGTAGCAGTGACAGTAGCAGCAGTGACAGTAGCAGTGACAGTAGCAGCAGTGACAGTAGCAGCAGTGATAGCAACGGAGGCGACAGTGGCAGCAGCAGCAGCGGTAGTAACAGTAAGAGCAGTGATGGCAGTGAGAGTGGCAGTAGTAGCAGTGGTGATACTGGGTCAGGAGGAGGAAGTGGAGAGAGCAGCAGCAGCAACAACGATGGTGGCGATGACAGCAGCAGCAGCAGCAGCAGCAGCAGCAGTGGTGGCACTACCGAACCTGGAGGCGGTGAGAGTGAGGCAGAGAAGGCTGGTAGCAGTGACAGCAGCAGCAGCAGCAGCAGCAGCAGCAGCAGCAGCAGCAGCGGCGGCGGTGATGTTAGCGGTCCCCAGTCAACCCAGAGCAGCAGTAGCAGCAGCATTGGTGCAGCAGCAAAGAAGCACGGCAAGAAGAGAGGAGGCAAGGGTAGTGAGGGAGGAGAAGGGAGCGTATGGTGGGACGCCGTCAGCAAGGTGGGGGCGCCGAAGAAGGGGAAGAAGAAGGGAGGAGAAGGGAAGACGGCGAAAAAGGATGGTGGGGGAGGGAACGTGCCAGTGATAGGCGGGGGTGGGAGGAGGAGGGGGAGGCGAAGAGTTGTCTAACAGGACCAGCTCCTCTCTGAATTCCTCATCAGATTCCTCCTCTGACTCCTCTTCTAATTCCTCGTCTGATCCCTCTTCTAACTCCTCTTCAAGCTCCTCGCCAGATTCCTCATCCATCTCCTCTTCCAGTTCCTCCTCGGATTCTGGAAAGGCGGATTCATCAGGTGATGAGGCTGCTTCAGAGGGTGGTTATTCTGATGCAGCAGGGGGGACGGAGGGTGCTGGTTCGGGGGAGGCCGGGGGGGAGGGGACGGGTGGAAAGAATGAGACTGTGGACGCGGGTGGGGAGAAGGGGGGCGATGCAGGCGAGGAGGGCTCGGGAGAGGGGGAGATTGAACAGGAGGGGGAAAAGGGGGGTGGTGAGGGAGGGAGTGCGGGAGGAGAGGAGGCATCACAGGATGGGCAAGGGGACAAGGGGACGGATGGGACAGAAAAAAGCACGGCCGAGGAAGGAAATGGTGAACAGGTGAAGGAAGAGCAGGCAAAGAACACCACGAGCAGTGGGGAGGTGAAGAGCGGAGGAGGAGCAGATCCGCCCACCGGGAGCAGTGAGGAGAAGGTGCCAAGTGATGGAGGGGCATCCCCCACCGGGAGCAGTGAGACTGACTCTAGTGGGGAGGATGGAGCGAACTCTGGTGGGGAGGGTGCAAAAAACACCACGAGCAGTGAGGAGGTGAGCAGTGGAGGAGGAGCGGACCCGCCCACGAGCAGTAGCAGTGAAGAGAAGGTGACTGGAGGGGCATCCCCCACTGGAAGCAGTGAGGCTGACTCTAGTGGGGAGGATGGAACGAAGTCTGGTGGGGAGGGTGCAACTGCGGGAGGTGAGAAAACTTCGGACAGCTCAGGCACCAGTTCTACCAGCTCAGACGCCAGTTCTGCCAGCTCAGACGCCAGTTCTGCCAGCTCAGACACCAATTCTGGCAGCTCAGACACTAGTTCTGCCAGCTCAGACTCGAACTCGGAGACTGACAAATTAGGCAATAGCTATGACAGTCTGGATAAATCTAACAACACAGACACCAGTTCTGACGACTCAGGCACCAGCTCTGACAGCTCAGAGTCACAATCTGACAGCTCAGAGTCACAATCTGACAGCTCAGAGTCGCAGTCTGACAGCTCAGAGTCGCAATCTGACAGCTCAGACACAGAAGCTCCTGGAGAGGAGAGCAGCAATACGGATGGTGAAGGAAGCAATGCGGGTGCGCCCTCTGTTGGGGATGGTGGGGATGGAGACGGGGGAGGTGAGGGGAGCAGTGCGGCAGCACCATCAGCACCATCGGCAGAAGGAGTGGGAAGCGGTGACAGCACTGTCGGTGGAACGGAGGAAGGGGGAGGAGGGGATGTGCAAGGTGATGCAGTGAAGGGCACAGCACCATCAGCAGATGGGGAGGAGGGTGCTGGGGCGCCAGCATCAGATGTGAAGGAGGCTGCAACGACAGCAAAAGCACCAGCATCAACACCACCACCAGCATCACCGGCACCACCATCAACACCAGCTCCAGCTGCAAAGCCAGCGGGAAGTGAGGAGAACTCGTCCTCACCACCAGCAGCATCAGCAACTGTGCCATTACCATCCGCACCACCATCAGCAAAACCACCAGCAGCAGCAACACCACCAACAGGGGAACCAGCAGCACAGGCGCTGCCATCAGCAGCAGCAGCAGCACCCCCAGCAACCTCCACTGCAAACCCACTCACTTCCACTTCTCCTCCCCCTCCTCCCCAAAAGAAGAAGAAGCAAAGCTCCCAGTGGGTGTGGTGGCCATTTGGGAACGGAAAAGGTGGGGTAAAGAGTGACGTGGATGCGCTGCTGCCTCACGGCTGGGGTGGTGCAGCAGCGAGTGGAGGAGGGACGGGGAGTGGGAGGAGGGAGAGGCTGTACAGACCAGCAGTGCAGCCTAATCCAGTTGTGACTGGGGGAGGAGGGACCGGCCAGGGAAGTGCAGTTGCTGCCTCAGCTGACCTGGCCTCATCTGGTTCCTCCTCCTCCTCCCACTCTTCAGGTGGCGTGCGCATAGTCACTCCTGGAGTCGAGCCGACATACAGTGCGGGGGACATGGTATAATGTGTGAGTCAAAGCATGGAGCACATGCCTTCTGAAGGAAGTTTTAGGACGTGGTATGAGTTGACTTCAGAGATGCCTGCTTCTCTGGTAGATACTTGACTAGCTAATTGTGTGAAAATGCTCTTCTTGTCTTGCTGACAATTGTGTCATTGAAGCTGAAGCACCTGTAAAGAACTTTTATACTAAGCGCGTATTCCTAACCTCGTATCAAGCAAACCTCATATCAGGCTCACACTGGAAATTCCCCTAAAGCCAAAACCTCTCGCTAGTTTTACCAGGCAAGAAGTACAATCTTGATACGAGGTGGCCTGATATGAGGCCGTAGGAATACGCTCTAATGTTAGGCAAACAGAACATTGCAAATCAGGTGACTTAGAAGCCACAACAGAAGCCTGAAGAGGGACAAACTTGTATTCACCCCAAAACCAACAGACTTGAGAAGGATTGGCAGCACTACTGTGCTGCCATATAGGAGGGTTAAGGCAGCTGCCGAGGTGACACACTTTTGCGCATCCTCTTGCAGTTATGACCATCCCTCAGTAAAGAGGCGCCTTGTAGAGGAGCTCATAAACACGTCTCTTCCACTTCAGTCACCCCTGAAGTGTAAGTAAACTCCGAGACCCCAAACCAATCACAAATCTCAAGCAAACCCCAACCAAAATCACTAAAAAAAAAAGAGGCAAGCCCCTCAATAGCCCTGCAGATCTCCCCGGGCGCTCATACAACCAGGTCCTGCCCCAACGTTATTCGCATTGCACATGGCAAACGAAGGTGCAGCAGCGAAGGAAGGAGGCACAGCTGAGTCGAGCATGGGGAGGACGGGAGTTGCCAGGGGCTGGCAGTCCAGAGCCAGGAACGAGGTGTATCCTTCGGCGTCCTCATCCTCCTCATGTTCCATCCCCTGCCAGTCCACCACCTCATCCTCACACAAAACCCCAGCGGACTCTTGCGAGTGGCTGGAGTTCCAGCAACCTTCAGGTCCGGATTCTGTGACGTGGGATACAGGCGAGGGGACGATGGAGGGCTGGCAGTAGCCGAGAGCTCCATAGGATGCAGGTGTCAATTGAGCGGCAGTTGCAGGCGTCTGAAGCATAGGTGGAGGCATGGCGTAAGGAACGGGTGAAATGCTGCTGTGCACGCTGGGAACGCTGGGAAGCATTCCATCAGCTACCAGAGGATCGACTACGAGTGATGCTGTATCCACGCACCCGATACTGGGAGTACTGACGAGTGCGGAACCTACACCCATCTGTAATGGATAACCACCGTAGAAAGTCCCGGCCTGCACGACTTCCTGTTGCTGCTGCTGCTGCTGCTGTTGCTGTTGCTGTTGCTGTTGCTGCTGAAGAACCAGCTTCTGCTGCTGCTTCCGTAACCGCCGTCGAATACGCGCCCTCTCCTTCTCCTCCTCAGTCTTCTCCCTCTTAGGCTTCTTACCGTTACATGTGCTACCGTCTTGAATTTGCTTCTTAAGAGTCCGTGACGGAGTCGGCGGTCCAACAACGACTTCCAGGTTAACATTTGACGGAGCTCCTCCGTCGACCACTCCCACATCTTGCTGCTTCCGCATCTCCACGATCTTCCGGTGAGAATTGGAGTGCTTCTCCGGCTGGAATTCCGGACTGCTAGCCGGCCTGTATTCCGGACACAACCGTCCGGACTTGTACCTCACTCCACAGGCGTTGCAGAGGGTCTTGGGACCCATTGGGCCTGCCCGCCACTGAGGGGTGGTCGTTGACGAGCAATGTGTGCATCGGCGGATGTTGCCATCCTTGTCCTTTCCATCGGGACTTCCTTGAGGCTTACGCTTCTTGGATGGTTGCTTGGCTACAGAGTCTACTTGGTTCGTCGAAGCTGATCGAGGCAAATCAGTTCCACTGAGGGTAAGTGAGCTAATGTCCGAGGTCGCAGGATCAAGGCCACCGATTAAACCCCTGGATTGAGGTTCAAGCGTGGGAGGAACAGAGTTGAGCGGACCAAGCGGCGGAGTTGTGCAGAAATTCCTTTCCTCAGAAAATCCACCAATTCGTGCGTCTTCAATCTCTCCCGTAGGCCCTTCATAACATTCGTCGTACTCGTCGCTGCTGCCAACCCCAGCGTCTTCCGGAACCACATGCGAGATTACGTCCGTCGACCAGACCCGCTTCATAATCCGCATGCGCTTGCTGCGGGATCTGGAGGAGAGAGCACACGAATCTGCCGGATTGATATCGGCATTCCTCAACGACAGATTCGGAGTTTCGTACTCGACAAGAGCTGGCTCGCCAAGTCCTTCGAATGGCCGGCCAGGAGACAACCGCACGGTAAGAACTGAAACGGGACTGCCTTCCCGGTGAGATCCAGTGGAAGAATGGAACCGCTTGTGATGTGGTGGTGATTGCAACGGCCATGACGGTTTGACGCAGGGGGTCTCGGGCGACGAGGCGTTGACCTCCTGGATTCTCTCAGTAACGACTGGCGGGGCTGCAGCCTCAGACAATGAAGATTCCTGCAGCATATAACAAGATGGATAACTTTAGATGGTTTTAAGAATGATCGACCAATCCAGACCATTAAAACAAAATATTAAGCGGTGTCCGATGGGCAGTTATTGATCAAATACTAACCTCGGAATCCCAAGGAGGGAGAGGAGTCGGAACTTCGTTCATGGGCCGGATATCCACAGTCGCAGGCGCCAGGAGGTTCAGTTGATTGATGGGACCAGCGATGTCATCGTCGGCGATAGCCAAGATGTCATCCTCAAGCTGCAGCATGCTCTCGTCCAAGCACAGAATGTCCATGAAATCACCTTCCGCCTCATTCTGGAAATCATCCTGCTCAGCGAAAGCCAGAGAAGGAACGGACATTTGATTAGCGACGACAGTTCGTGATTGATTGTGGATTGTGTGTGAATTCGTTTCATAAGGTTTTCAACCTTGGTTCCCACACCACGGCAAGAATCTGAGCGAAACAGTAACTTACAAGTGAGATATGGCAGTGCTCAGCGTCCTCGGCAATAACTTCGTCGCAGTGTTGAAGTTGCTTTACTGAGCAAGGCTCCGCAGGAGAGAGCGAATCCACTGTCAAAGAGCCACCTTGATGAGCCATGGCTGAAACCTCCTGAGTTTCAAACTTTCAAAACCTTGGGATCTGATCAATTTAGGAATTTGGTTTCTGTGTCAGAAATGAAGAGAGTGCCTGAAGTCTGACAGGAAATGGTGTCTGGGTCTCTGTCTGTCAGTTGGTTGGACAAGCAGGGACGGAACTTCAGCTGACCTCGCCGACGGAAGTAATGGTTTGCTGGACTTGACGGACTGGAGAAACGGTTGCTAGCAACGCAACTGCAAAACACAACCGTCTTGGTTTCAGGCGGTGGTCTGTATTATGGGTGTCGACGGACCCCGAAGTCCGTCGCTTTGGTTCCCCGAGCCACTGACTTCCGTCAAGCCGAACCAGAGAATGTGCTAAGCAGGGGTAATTGTTCAGACGAAGAGACAATCAATGGACGGCACGTGTACCGACTGCAGCTTTCTGACCACACCTCTGGGCTTAGCCAGTCACATTGGGATGTGTAGGCGGGACGGATCACAAGGGTGTCCGGACCCCGCTCGGTTTGGGGAAAGAAGCTTCGACGTGGAAAAAAAACTAATGGACAGGAGGGCAGACTCCCTATTGGCTGCACCACAACCAGGAGAGGGGTGGTTGGAAAAAGGGAAGCGCTTTTTTGCCACGTCAAGAAGGGGCTGAAACAATATCCGTGCGGTCTCTTTTCTTTGTACTGCCCGGAGGACCTGGTATCCATTTCCCGCCAACATTTGAATGCCACATACCCATTCGTGAGAAGTGGGAGGGAACTGGGAAGGAACTGGCAGGGTGGCACATGTGGTGGGCAGAGAGGCTCATCGATGTCAGAAAGCAGCGGCACCCTATTTGTTGAACTTAGATCTTCGGCAGCTCGCTCCCTACATAAATTCTGCCAGGAAAGGCGGAATCCTTGTTGCGTCAGTTCCCGCCATCTTGGGTTGGGACTTACACATTGCGGAATTTCAGCAGAGACCGACATCTGTGCCTGTGACGAATGGACAACCAACAAGAAAGGGGTTTTTATACAAATGGTCATAGACATGGGCTCTTTATCGCGAATGGTCATAGAACTATCACGAACGGTCACAGAACCTAGCAAATCTATCACGGATGATCATAGCACAATGACGGATAGTCACTCGTTGCCCCCCATATCTATCACGAATGGTCACTCAATGAAACCCTCAAGGAAAGTTGAAACTGCTAAGTTACTGTAGGGATTCAGGGGAAAAAACTCGCGCGCGCCGTTTTGTCCATAGTGTTGCGAGACGCTGTTACTTACGAAACATTTTCGCGACCACTCTCGCGAGGTCGTTAAAAACATCTGCAATTTCTCGGCAACATCGGAAAGTTACCTCGTGGCGCAGCGTTCACTATTCAATTGTCGACTGTTCGATTGATGCATAATGTTCCTAAGAAAATCATTTTTAGACAGGTAAAATTCGAAGATTTTTTCTGTTCATTTTCTGTTCCCAAGAAAAAACTAAAACCCATTCGGATAGGATTTCCTTCGGGAGACATCAACCCTAAACACCTTGTCGCATGGTGTTTAGGGTTGATGCCTCCCGAAGGGCATGCCATCATATAGGGGTTTATTCTTATTCTTCAGTCGTAAATGTAAGGCGAGAATCATGCGCTAGGTAACAAGGAATAAAAATTGGGATTCCCCAAAATTTCTACAGTTTCTTCACAGTGGCTAAGTGAGCTTCAACTTTCCTTGAGGGTTTCATCGAGTGACTATTCGTGATAGAAATGCAGGGCAACGAGTGACCATCCGTGATAGTGCTATGATCATCCGTGATAGAATTGCTAGATTCTATGACCGTTAGCGATAGTGCTACGACCATCCGTGATAACGAGCCCATGTTTATGACCATTCGTATAATAACCCAACAAGAAAATGAGGCATCACGTGCAAATAAGATATTCCCTTTGTAGTGTTTAATACCTGATTCAACCCGCCCCTGGTATAAGAGACATACCGTAGTTGGTACATTAAAAAAAAAAAACATTGTTGATGGCCCTCAATCTGCAATATATGAATGCCATATGGAATGCAACCGTTGCAGTAGAAAAATGCATGTTAGGTTGCTGGAAGAGGGGAGGGGGGAGATGCAAGCAGAAGTATACCATGAGTGGCACTGCGAGAAGTGTGGATTGAAAACGCATCGTTGTTGGTGCCCTATGGGAGTGCCTCAGTGCCTGTATGGAATATCGCCAAAGGTGGACACTCAGTTTCAGAGGGACTGCTAAAATGCCATGAAGCCGTTAACATTATTGTTGTTGTACACAGGATATTGAAAGTATGCACAAGAGCTGGTGCTGAAACACAGGTTGTGTAAAAGGTTGAGAGCTCAACAAAAAAAGGTGGATGCTTGATGTCACAGTCACGGCAATTGCCGTGTCACTGCAGACGCTGCCCCGTATTCGCATAGGCATATTTCCCTTCACTATCCCGCTGTAGCACAATATGTGCTCCCTCTCTCTCCTCATTTTTAGTTAGGCTCTTGTTGTCATGTCAGCATTCTTGTTTGGCCCTCTTTTTGTCATGTCAGCATTCTTGCTTGGCCCTTTGGTTGTCATGTCAGCATTCTTGTTTGGCAATGCATGGAAGGGGGGTTGAGTGCCCGGGGGGGGGGGGGGGGGGGGGGGGGAAGAGGGGAAAATAGTGGAGGATGAAGCAAGCTCATGACTTGCAGGGATGGTAAGGGGAGAGAAAGAGATAGATCGGGGGACATTGTAAGGAAAGGTTCCCGTAACACAAGGGGACTGGAGTGGAGGTGGGTGCGGTCTGAAAGATTTGGGGCCTTCAACTAAGGTACGATGTGAAAGATAGAACGAGGAATGATTGCATTGAGCAGCATGAGGAGTACAAGTAGGAAACCCTAAAGTGTTGTACCCCATATGAGCTACCCCACTACAGCCTACACAGACTATAGCATATAAGTTTGACACACCCCCATAGGCAAAGTGGGGGAGAACAAGAGGTCACAAGACCAGTCAAGAAAGGCAAAGCAAGCTTAGGGTGCTTAGCAAAGCAAAGCATTCTGAGCACAAGCAAATGGCCACAAGGCCAGTTCACATGCAGATTTATATAAAGGAGAACAAGCAATACAGTGATCACAACCTAGCAAGTGTAAGCATGCAGGTATATATATAGAGATCACAGTACAAGCAGAGTCAAGAAGTAAGCAAGTGAGGCACAGTAGGCACAAGGCCCAGAACAGTACAGAAACGCTGATGATCACAAGGCTGAAGTGCCTTGGTGAAGACATCAGCAGTGTTGGCCCGAGTGGCCACGTAAGCAAGACGAAGCTGACCACGCTGCTGCAACTCTCGAGCAAGGAAGTAGCGCAGAGCAATGTGCTTCGTTCTGTGCTCCAGTCTGTGCTCCTGACACAAGGCAATCATGGCCTTGTTGTCGACGTACAACACTGGAGGAGAACGAGGCGGCTCTCCCAGGTCGGTCAGCAGGTAGGTGAGCCAGCGTAACTCCTGTGCAGCCATGGCCCCTGCGTAGATCTCAGCCTCACAACTGGAGCTGAGAACAGAAGACGAGCGGGTAGACCGCCAAGAAACAGAGCCGGAGCCAAGACTGAAGGTGTAACCCTGTGACGACCGCTGCGTAGCCAAGTCGTCAGCCCAGGAAGCGTCTGCGTGACCAGTGAGGACAACTCGAGCTCGTCCTCCAAGCACGAGCCCCATGCCTGACGTACTGCACAAGTAGCGCAACACCCTCTTAGCGGCATCCATGTGCTCCTTCCTGTGTCTCCCAGGAGCGACATAGCGTGCCAGAATGCTAAGAGGGTAGGCAAGGTCAGGTCGAGTGCAGGTCATCAGGTACATGAGGCAGCCCACAAGCTCTGGGTAAGGACCACTCGGCTCTACGGACTCGTCCGAAGGTGGAGCCGAGAGCGAGTGGCGAGTAGGCAGAGGAGTGTGCTGTGGCGAGGAGTACGTGAAGCCGAAGCGCTGAAGGACCTGCTGCACCATGTATGACTGAGTCAAGGTAATGGTGCGCTGTGCTCTGTCCCGGGTGATCCGCAAGCCAAGATAGCTGCTCAGCTCACCCAGGTCTGTGCACGTGTGTCTCTTTTGCAGCTCCGACTTCACGTGGGCGAGTCCCTCAGTGTCAGCAGTAGCAAAGACCAAGTCGTCGACGTATACGAGAACGAAGAACGGCGGCAGAGAGGTGTCGGTGCGTAGAAACAGCGACGGGTCAGCAGTGGAAGGAGCAAACCCAAGCGCCGCAAGAGTCCTCCTCAGTGTGTCGTGCCACTCACGGGGCGCCTGGCGGAGACCGTAGACTGGCCGCCGGAGGCTCCACTGGGTACCAGCAGGAAACGACCCAGTGAAGCCAGGTGGGCGGCGCAGCTTGATCTCCTCGTGCAGGCTGCCCTGTAGGAAAGCAGTGCTGAAGTCAAGAGAGTGAAGCTCGTAGTCACGCTGAGCGGCGACGTGCAGCAGAACCCGAAGAGTGGTCATCTTCGGGGTAGGGGAGAAGGTCTGGAAGAAGTCAACTCCCTCTCGCTGACTGAAGCCTCGTGCAACGTAACGCGCCTTGAAGACAGGCGGAGAACCCGGCGGCCGCTTCACCCTGAAAATCCACATGCCACTGACAATGTTCGCCCCAGGCGGGGGAACCTCGTCGACGTAGGTGCCTGTGGACTTCTAGGAAGCCATCTCTGCGTCCATGGCTGTCTGCCACTGAGAGGAGTAGGGACCCTCTATCGCCTCTTCGTAAGAGCGC